ACATTATTTTGTTATTAAGCTGAGAACATTCTTGGTGGAGAAGGGAAGGGAGTTTACGTTTTAATGAGTGGTCTTGATCTGGAAAGGCTGGTTTTAGCTGGCGGACCTTTAGGGTATGAGAATCGCTATCATCCCCTCTTATCCCGTTTAGATTAGTATCGTATCGCTAACGTTATATCGAATTTTGTTTATATAGGTTGATGCAAGCCGCTCTTGACATTGTCTTACCTTATATCCACACTCGCATACCAAGCTTATCAAGTTTTTGAGCAGTTGAAAAGCCCTTGAATCCCTACAAATTGAAAAATTAAACAATCACGAAAAAAGTATAAAAGACATTTAGCGCAATTTATGAGCTGATTGCGAATCTTCATATCACCTTCTCTATAAGAAATGCCGTTATTCCCTGTGCGCCCGCTTCGAAATTTGTCTTAGCATAGACGACCAATACGTCAGCATCGGGTCCGTTTGTAATCCACATTTTATTACCATTAAGAATATAATAATCACTTTTCTTCTCAGCTTTTAGACGCATCGATACCACATCCGAGCCTGATCCCGTTTCCGACATGGCAAGTGCTCCAACATGTTCACCTGAAATAAGCTGATAGAAATGATATGAACACTCACTGAATTAACCAGTCGCTTCCCTAAAGGACGACTTCAACAGCAAGGAATGGCATCAACTCTATACCTTTGGTAGATATTTCTTTTTTTGGTCTGCATTCCCATTGCGTACTATTTGGTTGACACATAAATTGCTGTGGGCACCATATGAGAGCGCAACCGATCCGGATGCTCGAGAAATTTCTTCCATTACAATAGTATGCTCGAGATATCCAAGATTTAACCCACCATACTCTGACGGTGCTGTAATGCCTAACAAGCCCATTTCACCGAATTTGGCCCACATGTCCTATGTTTATTTGGGTTCGGCAATAATACCAACAATGTCATGTTTGAAAAAAAATATTAGAACCAAAAATGTCAGAATTGCCCAGAACGATGCTACAGGTTTGTATGTAACAGTACCCTCGGGAATTTGTTTGATTTGTCAATTTCAGATGCTCTTGGCGCGAGTTCTCTATTACAAAACTCGTGAACTGTCTCGCGAAGCTTTGTTCAAATAGATAAAGCATGTCAATCGGACGGCTTTAGTTATTACAATTTGTCGAGCCACCTCTAGCAATAAATTACCGCATTCTCTTCATCATTCAGGCCAGCCACATGCCTGTTATAACTTGATGCATAGAGTCGATGTTGGAGCCGTATTGCTGGCAGCACTCTAGGAGACAAGCAGGTAACGGAAAGCTGAAAGAAATAAAAAAAACATGAGACTAAAATTCTATTAAAACGCTATAGAAAACTTTCTGTTGCAACCTTTGCATGTCTAAGTAACAATTTTGAACGAAACATTATCGGAATAAGACAAGCGGATCGTAAGTTTTGTCGTGGGAATGTCAGATCATGTGTACGTGCGAAAGAACAATAAAATAACTCTTTGCATTTTCAAAATGTAGAATTGTGACACATCGGACAAGTAAATTTGGTAATTATTAATATACCTACTTACTAACATACTTTACACAACTACTGTATATTAAAAAACGCTCCTGGCATATAAGCGATGGCAGAATATTCATAGCTGTTTACGTGAAGTATTGATATCATATGCCTGTTCGACGGCAAAATTGTATCAACCAATCAAAAATCCGTGAGAATTGAGGACAAATTTCGCGTTTCCCCGTTCCGTTGTTTTTCTTTTTGCACTCCAAGATTTCAAGTGTTATTCTTTACAAAAGAATATATATTTCTAAAAGCCATTAGAACCCTTTTTACGCAACTCAACCTTTTATTTTTTTACGGCTATTAATAAAACGTATGGGATGAGGATGGGGAACTGCAAATTTGTTGTTCCCATCATGTTTTGCGTTCTTTATTGCCTGCACAAATTGGAATGGAACGGAACAGAATTGATGTAATTTGCTTTGAAATCATATTAATAGTATGGCGACCAATCACAACGCTTATAATTGCTACAACATGCTAAATTAAACTTCGTTATAGTACAATATACAAACCGAACTTCGGTAACGGACTATTAAAAAAAAAACACTTGCTTCGGTATAACAAAAATTCGTTATAACGTTGATTACCCGAATGGCCTTTTTCTGCGGGGTTGTCTTCGAAAATAAAAATTTCGTACGGTGGAAGCTGCAACAGCTTTTTCTTCAAAGTAATTTATAAATTCAGACGCCATTTTGGTAAATAAAAATTTTGGATCCACTCGTCGTGTAATCGTTTCAGACCGTTCTACAACTTTTCGATTTCTGACGAGTAAATTTTGTTCTCCGCTGACAGTTTTGTTATGAATTTCCAGCTTCATCGATTGAATTAGAGCTCCCGTATTATTAAGCCGACATACCATTTAGCAATATAGTTTATTTTACTGCAACAGAAATCAGCCATGAACACTAAACCCAAATGCTATCGAATTTAAAATTCTAGAAGCTTTAAAGCATCATACAGAGTAGTCGCCCATGACCAGAGAGTATCTTGTATGACTCGGTGGCTTTTCAATGACATAACGGGTAATTTTTGTCATCACATGACGACGGTGCTTTAAAAGCTTTCAAATGCGGTATGTGATCGACAATTTTTGATTACGATTGATAAAAAAAAACGACTCTCAAATATCGACTCCTCGTAAACATCAAAACCAAAACATCTCTCATATTAGCACCAGTAATGGCAGCCCCTCACGATGTCAAGATTGGCGTTATCGGTGGAACAGGCCTCTATAAACTAGATCATCTAGAAATAGTCGATGAAATTTATCCAGATACTGTAAGTCATATATATTAAACAACTCTTATTTCCTAGGCAAACTAAACCCCAAGCTCATTTGTTTCTCTTATCGTCCTCTTGTTCAAAGCCGTGGGGCAAGCCGTCATCGAAAATAGTAATAATCTCCACACACACAGGCCTCAAAATAGCCTTTCTTGCCCGTCACGGAGAAGGTCACATATACAACCCATCGGAAATACCCTCTCGCGCAAACATAGCAGCCTTGAAATACATTGGAGTTCAAGTAATTATTGCATTCTCAGCAGTCGGATCGCTTCGTGAAGAAATTAAACCACGTGATTTTGTTCTTCCCGTTCAAGTAATCGATCGAACCAAGGGCATTCGTCCACATACCTTTTTCGAAAATGGTATAGCTGGTCATGCTTCGTTTGCAGACCCATTCAATGAAAAGCTGGGGAAAATCATTGCATCGCACGCCAGTGCATTGGACAATGCTACATTACATCTGAACAAGACGTTGGTTTGTATGGAAGGACCAGCATTCTCTACCCGAGCCGAGAGCAATTTGTATAGATCTTGGGGATGCGATGTGATCAATATGTCTTGTTTACCCGAGGCGAAATTAGCCAGAGAAGCTGAAATCGCTTATCAGATGGTCTGCATGTCGACCGATTACGACTGTTGGAAGACTGACATAGAGGTCGTTACCGTAGACACGGTCATACAAAATTTGCGTGCAAACGGAGAGAACGCGAAAAAGTTGTTGGTGGCTGTGTTGGGTGATGTCGAAACAGCGATTAAGCAAGATGGATTTAAAGATGTTAGGGGACCCATGAAATATGCTGTTATTACAGACAGGGGCATGTGGACTGAAGACGCAAAGAAGAGACTGGAGTATTTGTTGCCTGGGTATTATACATGAGTTCAAAACGACCGTATTTTTATGTTATATTTTATGTATCATTGGCTCTATCACATTTCCCCCCCTTTAAACAATAGATATGCTTTTGCAAAGCACATCTCATCAAACATCTTTAACATGATGTAATCCTGTGCAAAGAATTTCTGATGATTCAAGAAGTTTGTGATGAATTCAAACTTTGTAAATCAATAAAGGTGAAATAGAGTTAACGTGCGCATTACAAAACCGTGTTTGCACCCGTCTCCTTTACTCATTGTGCATATTCCAAATAGATAGCTATGCTGTGTAATTGCTTCTTTTTAGTTAATAAAGTAAGGCTTTGTATTCTAAAAGCTGAATATGTTGGAACCCAAGAAACAAGCGAGAATTTATATAATCTTTCGATGACCTATCCCTCAGCTCGTTATACATGCCTGGTTTTTTGTTTGCGTGTTCAACAGTGCAAAGGCGATCACACTCCTCTTTCGTGAAAATAGTAAAAAAAAAAGCTATTTGTTAATTAATGATAATTTTCGACCCTTTCGTTAGTCATTACACAAGTACGTTTATTTCTTTGCGTCGATATGGAAATATTATGATTTTTGTCCTTGTTTATTATTAGGTGCAACTAATGATCTCCATAATTGGTTTAACAGACAAATAAAGCATAAATTGCTTCCCTAACTTGACCAGATAACACGTATCGTTACTACAAACATTTCTTCTTATGCATCTTTCTGTAAAACTGACTCGCAAATTTTGATTAATGCTGTCCAATTCAGAAAGATCAAAAACCGGTCATTAAACCATTGTCAGGCGTCGAGCCAATATACCCAGGAGAGCGTTGGCACACGGGCCTTGAGATTTAACTCTTTTCAAACGGAACCTTTCGCTATTCCTACTTCGAGATAAATTTACTGACAGTTCGTGACGTTTAATTACGATTTATACTCACGATCTGAATACCGGTCTTGTATACGTTCTCTTGAATTATTATTTATCCTCGAAATCTATGTCGATTTCCACTAGCGGGATTAGACTAATAGTCTATCGGGTTGGAGACCAAACTAAATAACTTGCGCAAAGAAATAAATGATAATTCTGTACGAAAGACAGCTTCGAGGTTAAGGGCGAGTATAACCCGAAGAACGCGCGGTCGGAGATTACGTTTTGTATCTCAATAGTAACAGAGACTACACCGGCGTTGTATCTTATTACGAATTAATTATCAAAAAAGAAATAAATATAAATGTATTGATTACGCAAATTGCTCAGAGTGTTTGATCAGTCAATATATATCTTTTCCAAGAGAATACCAATTCTCATTAGCACAAGCAAGAATCTCTATAGCAATCTGGGTTTTCCCAAAATTGGTGGCTGTGCCAACATTTTTTCTATATTTGTCCTATTCGGGGGGAAATTGTGAGTTAATGAAAACAAGAATTCGATAAAGGACTTCTACGACAATAAGTGCAGAATACTGCTTTTTATGAGCAAATTCGGGTTTTGACGACACGCAAGCCTCAATAGCCCTGTTCCGCTCCCATTTTCATAGAAGAAAATGAGTCTTTGAGTCATTGCGCTTGTGCTTATGCTCTGCGTTTTTGTTCTGTTTGGAAGAAAGGCCAGTGATGACATGGGTGTTACTAAGACTCCACTTCATGCATCGTTCTCAATCTCTCCTTAACTGTAGCTCAACAGGAGCCTGTCTTTTATTGTCATTATTTATTCTGTCAGCTAGCAAGATAAAGCTATCACTGACATACGAAAAGCATCTTGAACCTTTCTTCATAGATTGGAAGGATTTTCTCGCGTCATTCCATTGATCTGACAATATTGTAAGTTCGGCAAGCAAGGTAGAGTTGTTCATGCAAGGAGAAGAGACTCGGAAGGATACTTTCAAACTCTTCTTCCTCCTCTATTTTATCTTCTTCATCTGAAAACTCGTCACGCTCAATATGCCTACTTCGAGATAAATCTATGTGACGACTACGATTTATACTCGCGATTTAAATATCGGTCTTGATGCGTTTCTCCTGGATTTCGAAATCTCTTACGTCGGTGTTTCTGCTAGCGGGATCAGACTAATGGCCTATTGGTTGAAAATTAACTTAACTTGCGCAACGAATAAATAATAGTCTCGGAAACATGCGGTCGGAGAATACGTTTTGTTTCTCACTAGTAACAGAGATTACACCGCGGTATGTTCTTTCAACCAAGAATTTAATATGTTTCTTTTAACACGGTTTTATTAGAATATAAAAACTATTCTAAGCAAGGGATTGAAGTTTGAGCTGAAGATGCTGTTCTAAGCTACTCATTGTCAACTGCTGATAATTTATAATTCAACCGCCTCCATTCCGGAGTTATCGGTCGAATTAACACAACAGGTCGAATTAACATAGCTTAGGAGCGTAGAATTTATCCCAACGCGGACTTATTTCTCGCCTTCTTCCTAATGCGGCCATAAATTCACGGGGATTCCCATTATGAGAACTGTGTGTCACCAAACAAAATATATAACATCTTTTACCAAATAATAGAATAAAAAAGACTCGTTATGACATCAAAACCAAACTCCGAATTTGACGAAGCCTCGCAGCGTGAACTCGCTAAATTCCTCGAGGGTGAGAATGCGAGAATGCGACTTCACCAGTCTATTCACCAGTTTACTGATCTTTGCTGGGAGAAATGCATAACGAAAATAAGCGGGAATAGACTTAGTTCGAGTGAAGAAACCTGTATAGTTAACTGTGTTGAACGATTTGTGGACACGTCTCTTTACATCGTCAAGAAGTTGGAAGAGCACAAGAATCAAATGTGATGATGAGTTAGCGATATCCTTAGCAAAACGCCGCGACGAAGGTAAGTGCATGGAGACGATGATTATTGAAAAAAAAAAGTTTTTTGTCGGTCTTGCGACAATACATCCCTGATTTATATACATTTTCTTTGAACAGCCTCGGTCCAAGACTTGATGTCATAGCGAATCAGGATAAATAAAGCATAATAGCCTCAACTGTCTTTTAATGTAAAATTAGCTACACAAAATCTCGATGCAAGTATCTCCATTTCTTATGTGGATTTCTCAGTTCATCAATGACTCCGAGTGGCAGAGGACTATCGAAAGACGGTTTAAATGTATGTTCTAACGTCAGTTCTGGCGAAGTGTCCCAAGGCGTATCTGTCGGATAAATCGTTCGCTGGTCAGAAAACGTGTGCTCTACCCTTTCCTTATATTCATCAGACCTCTATAACGTAGTTCGCGAAATACGCCCACCCGTTATCGGTATATTAAGACCTACCCTCTCTAATCTCCTTTTTCGGATCTTTTAATTTTGGAATTGGGACTTGGATGTCGGTTCCTGCAATATATCTACGCCAACGGAACTCGCCCTTCCCTATTGAAAGATCTTCGATCCGACGCCAATGTACGCGAACCGCGCGTCTATATTTGATATTTCGTTTTTCCGACCATGTGTTAAAATCGTTATTTAAACATCAACAGATGTTTTAAACAACTTACTTTTCAGAAGCTTTCTTTGTATCGCTATAGGATGACGAGCACATCTTCTTGTGAGATGGGTTCCTTGCATAAAATTGACAAGCTGACTAACACTCCTCATTAATCTTACTCATTTGCATCCTCGGGATGAACCAGCAGTACGTTTGTGACATGGATGGGTTTCTCGTACGTCTGCATCCACCAGGAACCAATGTTTTTAGAGTCCTCTGGTGTATCTTCTGCCTGAATGTAGCTTGCTGTTTTTTTCCCCTATTAATCGCATAATGAATTAAATAGTTCGGTTTCCGATATAACTTGCAAAATCCTGTGAGGGTGTATTACCAAATTGACATTATCAAGGATGATTCTGTTATTTTGTTTGTCAACTTCTCTAACGATTCCAATCTGTCCTTTGGATGCACCACTTATTACTTTAACCTGTGAATAAATGACGATGCTGTGTGATGAGGATAACGGAATGCCCATTATACGAAAAAACGAACAAGCAAACTTACTCTGTCTCCAACCAAAATCTTCCAATGGGGTATCCTGTCTTTTGGATGAGTCCATCGGTCTCTAGGGACTACACGACGACTAGCCTTTGCATTTTTAGTAAACTTGGTCCATGTCTGTCGAGCCATGTGAGCCAGTGGACCCTTCGGTTGTGCCATTTTGAAGCCAACAAAGCATGTCAATGATTACTTTTCCGTTGGTATTAGCTTTTGTAAACTTTCGATCTTTGATCGACCAATCAAATTTCTCGACAGAAGCGTAATATTATCGCGTTACCTCTCTTCATGCTGATATGAGAAAAGATTGCAATATCGAGTACATAATACTGTTAATGTCCGCAAGTCAGGATGACCGTATAAAGAGAAAATGCTGGGCACAAACCGTTAGCATTCAATTCTAAATTCAATCTGTCACATACTGTATATTAATATCCTTACAACATCTTTCAGCAGAATTTTTATTTACCCAGAGCTCCGGGCTTTAGTCGAACATCTTTGGAATGCCGATTGCCGAATTGACAATGTACATGCGCCTTTACACAATTTAGACCGACTCGAAAAGCTATGACTAGGTAAGTCAATTGTCGACGTGCCATGTTTCATAACTTATGAGTTTTGGCAGCAACAAAACCAGACAAAGTGAACATTTTATAACGTGACATATAAAGAATGTGGCTATAAAATTGACCAGTGTGACTGATGACGTTTTGAAAAGTAATAATGGTGCTCATTCATAA